CGGAGGCAGGAGAATGGCAAGTTTGAGCCCAATCTGGGTAACTTAGCAACTTATCAAGACTACCTCAAAAAAAAAAAAAAAAAAAAAAAAAAAAAAAAAAAAAAAAACGATTGGAAATATACTGTAGCTCAGTGAGAAGGCCCTGGGTTTAGTCCTCAGTTAAAAAAAGAGATAGTGAATAGTTTTATAAATACTGAGAGAGAGCCAGAGAGATCAGAAGATTTGAGAATGTGCAAGATATATATATATAATTGATGACATGTTACAGAGTGTACATTATTTATAGTAAGTAGGAATACCTTCTGGCTGAGTTTTAATTTGATCAAAGGCAAAATGTTAAAACTTTTGCTTTGTTAATGGATAGTTGGTCTTTACATTGAGAAAAAGAAAAAGAATTGTAAAGATGAATCTATCTGAGCAAAGATAAAACTTCACTTTCTCACCAATTTTAATCACTCCTGGTGGTTTGTATTTTCCTGGATGTTCATGCAAGGTAAGGATGGGTGACACCTAAGTGCATAGGGCTGATTTTTAAAACATTATTGACATGAAGAACTATATCACCATTGCATAAGATTTTGTGTATAATTATCCATGCATAGTTTTATTCCATTTTACAAATGATTATACACTAGTTTTCCCCCAAAGTTAAGGTAATTTAGAAATACTAAAAACACAGAGTTTACAAGTTGACAATTTTAGTGCGAGAAAGTTAATAAAGTTAATATAAAAGCATTTATCCTATTTATGAAATATTTTTCAGGTCCCTTTCCTGGCCAGTTCCATCAGAACAGGAAAGTAGTTTGGGTGGTGATATAGACAATTCTTAGGAAAAGAAGCAATCATTTTGGTCACTGTAAGTGTAAGAACTGGGCCTTAGTCTTACAGCTTTGTTATCCAATTTGAAGGAAATGCCAATGAATTTTACAAATTTGACCAATGGCAAAGGGTACATATAACAGTGTATTTGTAGGAAGAGATCAATTCACCTGACAGCCTTGATTTGTGCAGTAACAGTAAGGAAGCAATGTAATTAGTATGAAAAAGAGTTGGGAAGAATTAAGTAACGGAAAGGGACGAGTAGAGAGCCTCTCACACAGTTGTCTTGAGGTTGAAGAAAAGCCCACAGAAGCGACAGGATTCCACTGACCACAGTCAACGCAACAAGAAATTCCGGATGGATTACTGCTCAGCTGCTTCCTCCCCGGAAATGCCTCCTCCAACCCCACCCAGCACATTTGTACACACACACATGCACACACACACGCATGCACACGCACACTCCTGAAGAATCCCTGGCCTCAGAGTTTCACATTCCTGGCACAGCTGCAGCCTGAGGGCAGCGGCCAAGGGGTGGGAGCCAGAAAACCCTGCGCCAGCTGCTAACTCAGGGGCTGCTTCTTTCTTGGAGCCAGGTACCCTTGGGAATCCAGGATCTCAAGCAACTGCAGTTGGTCACTGAAAACCACTTCTGGTGCAAAACTCAAAATTCAACTTGAAGGGGCCAGGGATTTAACTCCATGGCATAAGTGCCTGCCTGCTAAGCATGACGTCATGAGTTCAATCGCTGGTACCAAAAAAAAAAAAAATCAACTTGAAAACAGAAGAATGCAACAACTACTGAAAATCTGTGGTGCACACAAGAGTACTGTAACTGGCAGGCCCATTAAGGTGGAATTAGTTTCTACGACCTGAATCCTGTGGTACCCGTGCACACCAGCACCCCATCTCTTCCACATTCTTCACTGATGCTTGTCATTTTATATCTCACACTTTTATCTAGTTGTGATTTGTGGAATTCAATAATGTTTTTTCTTTTTTTGTTCTTTTCCAGTTGGGGATGTAGCCCAGCAGCAAAGTGCCTGCCTGGCAAGCACAAGGTCCTAAGTTCGATTCCCAGTACCCACCTCTAAAATCAAAAAGTCAAAGGGTAATTTTTATGATGTACTTTTTAATAAGCTCTCCCCCAGCCTACACAGAACCATAAGACAAAAATATCAGGAAATACCATTCCATGCATCTCTCTTAAGGCTTGTCAGAAGGGTTTGTGCATATGATGTTATTGCTGAGCTAATATTTTTCTGTCATGATCATTTCCTTCTTTTAATATCTGACCAAGGATTTATCATTCCACCCTTCCATTTTCACTAAAGAAATAAAGTAGGGCTGAAGGTACACTTCAGTATAGCAGTCTGTGCTCACCATGAGCACAAAAATAAAAATAAAACCAAAGCAAAAATATCCTCCAAAGTGACACAGATGCTCCTCGTTTACCACTTTAACTAGAATTTTTTCTGACTGTGAGGTTCAGGTTGCCCTGGACCCACTATGGCTGTCCTTGAACACTCAGTGATCCTCCCGCCTCAGCTTCCCAAGTGCTGGCATTGTCGACATATGCCACCACTCCTGGCTGTACATAGAATTTTTATAGAATTAGAATAGCGTGTGTTCAATAAGTAATAGCTGCCACTTCCATGGCAAACCATGATGCCCGGTGTCTGCTCTTGGATCATTTGTAATTTGTATAAATGTAATATTGATGCTTTTTACAACACTTTTTTCAAATATGGGATATACCTATTAGTGATTTATGAAATCAATTCAGTGAATTTCAGATAGAATTTTATCTAGAGAGCGGCTTTGAATAGCTGCTGCTGCCCTGCCCCTCCTGCCTGAGGGCATTTTGTGTGTCAGCCTACATTTCCCATGATCCTCCCCTTGCCTGCAATGCACATGACAAGCGAACTTCCTGTTTCAGCCTGCCTACATTACCCATAATCCTCTCCTGCATACATCATATAACCGGATGTGACGATAACCTATCAGATTAAGCCTTCTTCCTGCGTTTGGCCCGCCCCCCACCCTATATAAGTTGTAGCCATTTTAAAAATAAGAGAGACTTGAATGGAATCCGCCAAGTCTCGGGTCTCTCTTTTCTCTTGCCCTGCCCCCATCCCCGATCCCCTCTCCAGGTGAGACCCACAGACTGATCCGCAGGCCGGATCAATTTTATACGTAATGTAAAATAAAAAAAGAAAATATCAGAATGCGATATATATAATAATAAATGAGGATTGTTCTGTGAAACTTGTTTTGGTTCTGTACCTGTGGAAAGTGTGTAAAATGAATTCCTCTCTATGATTTGTCTTAGAGTTTGAAAGTCACTGTCACAAAGTAGGTGTTTCTACTGAGCATATGAGCAAAGTAAAACAACCACATTTATTTTTCTATAATCAATAATCAATTTTGTTTTATACCCATAAACACAACTACTCCACTTCATACACTGCAATAAAGGTATTCAAGCCATTTAAAAGTAATTTTCTATTCATTTTCCGTGGGTACCATTAGAAAACTAATAGACTAGCATTTGTTGACATTATTTTCTATAAAACGATTCTCATTCCTCTTGCATTTATCTACCATGAAATAATAACAGATCCAAAGATTCTTTGTTTTCAATTTACTGTTCTCCATAGCAAAGGGATGACAATTCCCCTTTGTGACACATTGATCTATAGCAAAATACCATCTCATTTGAAATGGATGAAAAGTAATTCCGACTAGTTTACATAAACATTCACCCCGTCCACACACACCCTTCCTTACTGAAACACTTCAACTGGTTGTGAATTTTCTACTTGAAAGTTATAAAGTGGGCAGAAGAACAACAGTAACTGAGTTGCACCTTGAACTGTGCATTTCAGTGGTTTTGGGGAGCAAAGTAGAAAAGGAAGCCTTAGTCTTGAGAGGTCAATGTTAATATTAGTATTGTGCCTCTGTTGGGGAACAAATGTAGAAAAACCACACTCCCTTGAAAATTCACAAACCACCTTAGAAGTACTGATACCAACACTCAGGACAGAGCATAGAGGCCATTGGCAGAGTACATTTTGCCTTTGAATGGGATCAAAATGAGCTGCTTCAATTTTTCAGTATTGACTGGGTAGACCACTGTCTTAGCCACTTTCTGGTTGCTGGCACAAAATATCCAACATCTGCAACTTAAGGAGGCCAGGCTTCTGTTAGCTCGTAATTTCAGTCTATGATTGGGTGTCTCTGAGGCAGACATGGCATGGCGGAGGAAAATTGCTCACCCATAGCAGCCAGGAAGCAGAGAGACAGAGAGAAGGGAAGAGCTGGGGACATGGACACCCCCTTCCAGGTCACGCCCCCAGAGACCCACCTCTTCCGACCAGACCCCTCGTCTTAATATTCATATTCATATTCAGTGGTTGGATCCGCCGGCACCTTCTGAAATCTCTATTCCTGACTACATATTTTGGGAAGCTTTATATTTAAATCATAACATCCTTTCACTGTTTAAAGGGAATGACCAGTTCTACTGGAAAGGCATTTCCTTGGGAAGCAAGTGGAGACTCCAAAGAGCAAGGAGGATGCGGAGCCTCTAAGTCACGATTTACTGACCAAGAGACGAGGGAAAACATGAGGCAAAGCTGGAGAAGGGGCCAAGACCAATGTCCTACAGAGAAATTAAAGTGGGGATGGACAGACAGGTACCCTACTATCAAGGCACCTTCAACAGGACTCGGCTTGCTTAGCAATCCAAATACATTGCTCAAGAAACTTTAATGCATTAAAAGATAAATTACAAACACTTAAAATAACACTCATTGTTCAATCTTCCTGTACCTTCCAACTCTTATCACAGCTTCTTAACATATGCACCACCTTGGTACTCAAGATCTGGATTTTATCACTTGACGCTAACTGTTAAATTGTCTTCTGTGTAAGCACCGTGTAGGTCACTTTTAGTGACTGTATTTTATTGCATTCTTACCGTACTGTATGTTATGCAGCCAGTTCCCAGATTTCCTTGGGATGAATGACATTTCCAAAAACAGCTTTCCATGCACATTTTATTCTGTCCATTGCTGAAGGCAGGTTCTAAGGTGGGAGATTATTAGGCCACAGGGGGTACATTTGTTTATAAATATCTGCATGGCGTTTTGTTAGGCGGAGAAGGGCCTGGTACTTACTGTTTTGCTCCAAGTAAGGCCTGTGGTATGGTGTTCCTTGATGTATGCCTGGAGCTCACTCCAAATATTCAAATACGACTTCACCCAATCCACGTGGCGCAGGTCACTTTTGTTACAAAACAGAATGAAGAGAGCAGAGTTAGGCTCTATTGTAAAATTTTAAAAAGGAAATGGGCAGTTACCCAGTATCTAGGGCTCCAGATAATGCCAGAGTGATGTTCGTCAATGCTGGAAGAGAACCCTGAAGGGAAGGTGGCCCTGCACTTCCCTGAAGGAGGCGGCACATGGCCAACGCCCCAAGCTCCAGATCTGAACAGAGCCAACCGAGGTCACATGTCCCCCTGCCTCACTAATGGGAGATAAACGTGGAGGGAACACCATTTCTTTCTGTAGAGCTTTTGATGCAAAGCAAAGAACCCTTATTCTCATGAATGAGAGTGATATTTTAAGAAGTCATTTAGTGTGTTTTCTAATAATTCCACTGTTTAGTCATTATGACCGGTAAGGAAGTTGGTATCTAAGAAAAACTGTCTTCTTCCAAAAAGGCAACACCGTTACTTCTAAAGGGATCCATCTAAACTACCTTCCTTTGATATTCTTGACACTGCAAGCTTGGAGGAGCATGGCCAGGATTTTTATCTCCATTTTATTGAAGGAGAGCTGTGAAATACTCACCTTTCATAACAGGACGAGCAGACAGGACGGAGAGAACTGTTAGGAACATTTAACTCACAGATGGGCCAAAACAGTTGCGTTTCCTTTTGACAGTGTTCACCCACAAGGCTTTTGTTCCCACTTTGCATGAAGTAGTAGTAGACGAGAAAGTGATGCCAGTTGAGTGGACACAAATTTAATTGTGTCCCTGGCTCATTAATCTGAGGACAAACACTGAAGGAAAGCTCTCTTATAAAGCGCGCACCCCTAATGACTTGTCTCTTCCTGTGTTTTGTTTTATTCTCTTTGAAACACTAGCGCACCAGCTGCAGGTCTAGAATCCCACCCTTTACGGGGCTCCGTTAGGAGTAGAGGAGGGGAAGTGAAATTCCAACCAGTCACTCCCAGTAGGAGAAAACGTGAATATGGCTTTGTTCCCCATTTTTACATGCACTGATTGCATTCGTCAAATCTGGGCAGAACGCATCTTTACTCTGTCTCATTTTCCCAGGCCTCTATTGACCTGTAAGGTTTTGTGAGGCTCTTAGTACATACAGTGCCCAGCACTGAGGAAGCAATCTAGACGGCAGTTATTATTATAGCACAACACCTTCTTTGGTGCAAATGTACACTCACATCTATCTATGTGGTCATTTAACATGCAAATACACATATGCAAATATATGTATATGAAACACAAGTATAAGTCTGCAGACACTATTGGAATAGCATAAAGTACATTCAATATGCTTTCTATTTAAAAATTTTTACAATGAGTTACAGATGGGTATAGGCAAATATTTTTTCCTTTGAATCTCTGTAGTAGTATTCTGACTTGAAGAAAGCTTCAATAAAACTTAATAAGGACCGATAGTAAATTGCCTTCTCCTGCAGTCAGTCTCTCAAGGGATATAGTGAGTAGGATGGAAATGCAGTACAGTACCTGTGGGCAGCTGCAGACTTGTGCCTGGTTTTCACCGATCCTGGAAGAACTATGTTTAACAGCTGCGAGGGAAGGTGCAGTTTGATAGAGCCAAAGTCGGTGACCTCTCTACTCACATACTGAGAGTCAAGAACTACTCAAGTCAGTGGCAGGGGTGCTCACAGCTCTGTTTAAAGACAGGGCACCTGTCTTTCAGCTCCTTGGCCCCCAGGGCTAGCTATCAGGTGGGTGGTGGAGAGTCTCCCATGACTCTAAGGTGGGGAAAGGCACTGAGGTTGGGTCCCCTGCACATGGTGTTGAGCGTGTTGGGTATTCAGTTTTCATTAGGTTACCAGCCCTAGGAGCACCAGGGAGACTCAGGCAGGTTTGATTACCTCTAGAAATGAAATGCATGAATCTGCACCTCTGCTTGCATTTCCCCAACTTACTGTATGGTCTTCAAGGGGCCCCAAGCTTGATGGAGCCCACCTTGATGCTGCTGGAAGCACCCGTTCTCTTTTATAACTGACACAAGGGACAAACCCTGGACTCCTTATGTGCATGTAAGAATGTGAAAAGCCCAGCCCCCTCGGCTGCGCTACCCACTGGGCTGGATCACTCATACTCAGGTCCTGACATCTAATCAAGGAGGGGCTGACATGGGACAGGAGTTGACAAACAGATACGAATAAACACGATCTGCAAGGGTCTGTTCCTGCGAAGAGGTAGGAGTCTGGGCAATGTTTAGGCTGCCCTAAACCGGCACCCGTGCTGCGCTCTGAATGAAATCACTCTGCATATATGTCCAGCCAGCATAGTACATTCAGGTTTGGAAACACCAGCTTCCTCTTTCTGCCATGTTAATGTACATGTCAAAACAATGGGTGGCTTTGCATTTTGGAGACCTCTTCGGAGGCACTGAAACCTTCTGCGGTGTCTAGTACCACAAGGCAACATTTGGAATCCTCTCACTGAGCACAGGGGCATCAGTATAGTTCTCTGGGTGCACAAAGCACCCTGTCACCAAGCACCAAAGCACAGTTACCATGATCAAAGTCTACCGAGGGTACAGATCGATCCTAGGAGAAAAGGGGCTCACAGAGGAGCCTGGAATTAATAAACAGTTCTACCTGCTAACGTTGTTCTTCTCCAAAGCTGCAAGTTTTGCTAACATAGAATTAAAAAATCTATGGTTGTTTTTGCTTTTGTTTTAAAAAATATCATATAAATAATTTTATTAAGATACAGTTCATATTCCATATAATTCATACATGGAAAGTGTGCAGTGCAATAATTTAGCTACAGTTGAGCAAACATTACCATAATTGATTTTAGAATATTTTAATCTCCCCAAAGAAACCTGATGCCCATTTGTACTTATTCTCTCTTTTTTTTGGGTCTTTTTTTCATTTTTATTGGTACCAGGGATCGAACTCACGGCTGCCTGTTTGCAAGGCAGGCACTTATGCTGTTGAGCTAAATCTCCAGCCCCCTGTAGTTATTCTCTATGTCCCTAAATGTCTCCAACCCTAAGTAACTGTGAATACTTTTTGCCCATTATGAATTTTATATAAACTAGAGTCATACAAATGTACAATATGTGATCTTTTGTATGTCTGGCTTCTTTTGCTTGACACAGTATTTTCAAGGTTCATTCATATTGTCACTTACATCAATATACTTTCATCTTTAATGTCCAAATAATATTCCACTGTATGGATATACCTTATTTTATTTATCCATTCATCACTACATTGGATTATTCCCATATTTTGGCTATTGTGCATGATGCTGCTATGACTATTTATGCGTAAGCTTTTGGTTGTACACCTGTTTTCATTTATCTTGGATATATATACTGGATATATATACTTGGATATATACATATCTGGGAGTTGAAGTGCATAGTATGACTGTTTTTTATAGTAAAAAATGTTAGTATTTCTTTTTTTAATTTTATGAAAAAATAAAAATTTCATTGCAAAATAATAAGAGAATAGTAATAGTTAATACATTGTGTATTATTATCTTCAAAGCAGAGTACAAGACCTTGATAAAAAAGATTTCTCTTTTATAAAGAAGAAACAAACAGATATTGGCACTGTTTGATTTTCATTTAACTAGCTATTTCTTAAAACGAGTAGTGTAAATATAGGTATTTTTTGTATTATGACTTTTTATAACATATGCATTTTGTTAAACTTTCTTTTGTATGTCAATATTTATTAAAATAAAAAATGAAAAGGAAAGCGTGGTACAAAATTTAAATATGTGCCATTTGGTCCACAACCTGGTAAGATGGCAGATATTTATGCAGGATGCATACATAATGCATTTTTGGTTTAACTTTTGTTTTCTATGGATGTGAATCCTTTTCTTCTGGTTATTTTCAGGTCTGTGTTTGTAAAATACAAGGTGAATGGGGGTGATAATCCAGAGAATTTAGGCCCTCAAGTCTCCTTCATCTGAACAGTCAGGATCAAGGATGAGCTGTCCCCAGCAGCCACTGTATTTTTTGACTGATGTCACCTCTGTTGTTGGGATTAGTGAGGGGAGTGGGAACACTTCTGTTTTTAATTTTGCCCCAACTCTTCCCTTAGTTACTAGGCAACAGCCCAAACACCTTTTGTCAGCTGTTTACAGGCAAGGAATGACCTTACCAGAGGCAGAGGAATCTTATGACACTCCTTAAATAGTTCGGGAGACATTTTCCTGGATGTCTCATTGCTGGTGTGGCTCTATTTGGTCCTCTTTTCTATTCTAACCCCAGCTGCAGCCTCGCTAGGATCTATTATGTGTGCTATAGGATGCGAGGTCTTAGTGCTGGGTCTCCAGGCTCCCGTGGTTCACACTCACCAGTGCTTTCTGCAGCCCTCAGAGAGCCACTGCTCTCCCCAGTGCCCCTCTGTCCACTCCAATCGTGCTGTAGCTCCACCTGGTGTCCCTCTCGCTGCCTATGCTATTGGCTCATCTCCCCTCTGTTCTTGATTTTCACTTCATTTCCTGATTCCCCCTTTCTTCTGTCTGCCCACTCATCAGTCCGCTTTGATCAGTGAAAAGCTCTGTGATCGCAAGGAGCCAGTCCGAGAGACATAAAGTAATAGCATACATTCAAATGGGGACAGTTCAGTCATGACCGGGGGACTGAGGCACACTTCGTAAAACACACACATTATCTGGATGACTGACTCCATTTTCCACTTGTTTTTCTCTGCTAAGATGGAATTTTTCCTTAAAGGATATAGTACACTCATAAAGAGAACAGTAATTAACTATTCAAGTGTTAGAAACAAATGTCTAAAGTGATCAACTGCAAATCCAGTAGGAGAAGAAGGTACGTACCTGTGTTTGTAGTCCTTTAGGACCCTGTTAGTGTAAAAGGTGGCAGCGTCATTCATCTCCTTGACATAAGGACCAGGTTTGGGGGACTGAGAGAACAGGACCATCACCCAAGCATAGGAGGAAAAAGAAAAAAAGATAAGAAAGAAGAAGAAGAAAAGCAAGGGAATATGGCTGGAAGTTGGAGGCCAGTTGGGCTCTGGAAAGGTCATGAAATACACTCTGTGTCTCAGAACAGAAAGCAGCACATTTTAAACACAGCAAGAAAAAGCCAAGCGTTCAGCCTAAAGCATCCTTTCTCCCACGCGGCGGGTTGTGGATGAAGTGATGTGGAGGGGAGGTGACGTCTCCGCAGCATGACAACACGTGACCAGGTGAAGGGGCCCGGTGCACCCCGACTCACCACGGCTATCCAGCCCAGGGCTGGGATGCTTTCGCTGACGGCTGAAAGATGGTTGAACATGTTACTTCCCCGGTTTCTCTCTCTGAAAGTTTGGATTTCCTGAATCTTTTCTGAGATGGGTTTCAGAAGCGCAGCCACTTCGTTCTGCAAGCAAACAAGACCTGTCACTGGAGACAGACAGAGGCCAGGCACCTCCACCTGTCTGGCTTATATCGGGGCATCCGGGGCCCTGGAAACACAGGACCACCCTTCAGGACAGAATGGAGTTTGTTTTGCTGTGGTCACGCGGTCAGCCTTTCATATCCACAGGATCTGCCTGTGTGACTCCAACAAATTGCATTAAAAATATTTCTTAAAAGTACTGTATCTGCACTGCTCATCGACAGACTTTTATCATTTCATCAACAGTACAGTGTGACAGCTATTAAGCTAATACTTACACTGAATTAGGTATTGTAAGCAATCTAGATGTGACCTGACATATACAGAAAGACGTGGGCAGGCTCCATGCAAATGCGAAGTCATCTTATGCGAGGGACTTAAGCATCTGTGCATTTTGGTGTCTGTGGGAGGTCCTAGAACTAACCTCCCTCAGACACAGAGGACAGCTGGACTATAATTTTATTCTTTGCAATATGAAAATTGCAGACATTTTTAACATTAATAAGGTTGTCTCCTGAGACATGGAAAACCCCAGCAGTAAGATACAGCCCCTGTTTTGGAGACAGCTGCAGAGAACACAGTGAAACCAGTGTGGCTGTGTTGTATTTTCAAATGAACAGGCCAATTGCATGCTGTAGTAACACAGGCATTAGGTCAGGGCAAGAGGTTGTTAAAAGGAAGACCTACTATTCCTGTGGGGAAAGGATGAGGAGGAGGACCCTAGGTTTGACTGTAGTTCCCACAGTTAACGTGAAAACAAGGAAATATTCCCTGATGCTCTTTCTAAGCAAATGTGATGGCTTCTCATATTTATAGTGACATTCATCTGGTTTGGCTCTTGACATCGCTCCTAATCCACTGGGCCTAAGACTACCGGTCACACTTACTTCTGATGAATTCAACAGCTGACTTCTCTAGTTATATAAAAAGTGACTTTCAAAATTATGTGTTAGGAACTATCACAGAGACACTGCAGCCATTTTAAACATCTCGTTCATGCCCGAGGCATTTGCTGCTTTCTTTAAGCATGAAAGAGCAGAAGGGAAGTTGTTTATGTGAGTGTGTGTTTGTTTGTGTATGTGTGTGTGGTATGCTCCAAAGAATTAGCAAACGTTCTGAGCTTCCCACTTCTGTAAGTGCAGCTGAAAGCTTTAAGCAGTATTTTACCAAATCTTGTTTGTAGGAAAGTAAGATGGAATAGCTCCTTAGAGCTCTTTCATTTCCTCAACCAAGACTTCAAGACAATAGTTTCTAATTTTGGCTACACACTGGAACCACCTAGGAGGTTGTAAAAGTTACAAAGGCCTGGATTCTGTCACCAGGGATTCTGATTCAGCTGGCGGAGGTGGCCTGGACAAGGGTGGGGGATTTTGTAATCATTGCTATGATGGCAGCGTCACACTAAGGCATGCCCATTGCTGCCAAGGAGAGAAAACCTTAAGGGGCGAAATTATGCTCCATGGCCATAGTTTCCAGATTTGACTTCTCCTTCCAAACCCTTTACCGGTCCTCCCTGAACACAAACATTGTGTGTAAGGGCTTAGGAATTGGAACAACCTTGGTCAAAATCTCAGGCATGCCATGTACTTCCTGTAGGGCCTTGAGCAAATTACTTTTTTCTGGCCCTGGGTTTCTTAGTACACAAATCAGATATCACAAAATATTCACAACCTATAGACTACAGAAGACACGATTTCAAACCCTCTAGCTTGCAGGAGGTACACAATAAACATAAGTGATTACTGTTAATATGATGGTCATTCTGGAGCTAAAAGACACGTTGCCCCCAGTAATATGCACTATTCATGTGCTTCAAACAAAGACTGTATTTCAGACAAGAGACGCTCCAAATATGCATCCATCCCTGAAAGCTAAAAGGATTTTAGGATCATAGGAGTCTAAACTGGGTCACCTACTTGGGCCTTTTCACAGATCCAATGGAATAGGTAATAATTTTATTAAAAAATCAAATCTATTGGAAGAGAATTGAAAGTATTGCTAACCTGTAAGGGAGGGCAGGCGTTGTGGGAAACACTTGTTTCAGTTATGTGCTGTGTGGCTGTGTACTAAATTCCAAAATGTACTGATTATGCATCCCAGCCCAAAAGTTTGAAAAACATAGATCTAATCCACTTCTCTCATTTTACCTATGTGGATAGAAGGTTGGGGTGTTCTGTGTTAATTTATTAAGTTAAGACCATTTAGCAATAGTTAGTAGAGCTGGAACTAGCACCTAGGTCTTCTGGGAAGCCCTGAGAAAATTCCCTGTAGTGCAGGTATAGATACAAATACAATTAGCTGTCTATGCAAAGTTTCTCCTCTGTCAACCTGACTAGGAAAAGGTATTACAAAGAGATGAACAACTCAGGTTCTAGAATGACATTGCTTGGGTTCAAGTCATTGTTTTCAGTGTAGTAAGCTTTGTGTCTTTATCAAACTTCGTCCATAATTCATTATCCCATTGACAAAAATAAAGTGGACACTGGAGTCTATGTGATAGGGATGTTATGAGGCTGAATTGAGAATTCTCGGTGGAATTTTAAATTTTTCAATATTGAAATTAGCTGCAGAAACTAACCAGATCTTGTAGACAGTTCAGGAATACTCTATTTTCCCTTTCTCTTTCCCTTCTGATCATTGTAAAGCAAAGGTGTTATAGATTTGGCGCAGAGGTCCTGAATCACAATTGTCTTATGCTGAATTGTGTTCTCCCAAATTCATATGCTGAAGCCCTTATACTCCCACTACCTCAGAATGGAACCACACAGTATTAACATCTAAGTTAAAGTGAGGTCATTACAGTGGGCTTTACCCCAGTACAACTGGTGTCCTCATAAGACGATGTATCAGCTGGCTTTCCCATTGCTGGGACAGAACAGCCAACACCTGCAGCTTCAAGGAGCAGAGGTTTATTTTGGCTCACAGTTTCAGCGGTTCGGTCCACTCTAAAGCAGGAATGTCATGGCTGAAGAGCATGGCAGAGCAAAGCTGTCTCATGGCGCTGGGAAGCAGAGCACAAGGGAAGGGTGCCAGAAGAGATATACTTCCAAAGGGAGAGTCCCAGTAACCCACGTCCACTTGGGCTTCATTTTCCACCAGCACACTCAGCTATGACCGTTATCCACTGATCCAAACACCTTTCTGGAAGTCTTTAATCCAGGAAAGTTGACACTATGTTCACCTGGCATAGATGCAGAATTTGGACATGGAAACCCCTAGAGAGATGATGTGAGGACACAGAGAGCAGATGGCCAATTCCAAGCCAAGGAGAGAGACCTTACAGGAAACCAGCCCTGCTGACCCCTTGATGTCAGGTTTCTTACCTACAGAACTGTGAAAGAATAAAGTTTTGTTGTTTAAATCACCTGGCCTGTAACACTGTTATAACAATCCTAGAAAACTAATATGGGATCTAATGGCAGTTCAGAAAAGGGAAGCAAATACCCTCATCTCCTTCCCGTGAAATGATCCACAATAAACTAAAGCACCTCAAAACACTCTGGCCCCAAATATAACTATTCCATGTGGGTTCATTCATGGCTGCCGAAGTCAGTATTAAATATTCTCCCTGGTAGTTCAGTCTTTTAGAAAGCAAATATCTCCCCCTTCAAGAGACTTTTTTCCTCGGGCCTAATTCTGTACCACATCAAAGGCATGAGATTGGTTTCTGCAGAAGGCTGCTGATTTTCAATTATGGCAGAACTACTAAAAAGTCTCCAACAATTCGCTAAATCGTATATTTTTTTTGACACAATGCGGTCTTTGACAAAGGCCAGCGTATCTGAACTGTTGGTGATGCCTGGACTACTGCCCCAAGAGAAGAAACCCCAGGAACTGTGTATTTACAATCTTAGAGAGATTTATTAAGGCCATCTTTGTTTATCTCTGACTTCCCAAGAACAAATTCTAAAGTCTGAGGAGACACAGTATTTTGGAAAATATTTCATATTGGTTATCTGATGCAAGCATCCTAAAGATTGAGAAAGTTTCCTTGTGCCTTAGTTTGGCAACTGTGAAGAATTGTCATCATAAAAAAAAAGAGAAAGAAAGCAATGCTAAAAGATCTAAGTATAACAGTTATTTCCCAAAGCTAATAAACAATACAGCTTTTATTCTGAGCCAATAGAGTTCTCTTGTACTTAAAGTAGTTTTCTCCAGTTAATCTTGAACCTTCACAGCTGGAATCAAAAATAGGAGAGAACACAGCAAGCCCCATGTGTGGGAGGTCAGGGGGGAAAACCAACAGAGGAGGCTGTCAGACATCCTTCCACTTGGTAAATATTAAGTATCTATTAGGCATCCTCGACAAGCACAGGTTGAAACTCACTGATGTCAACTAACATTACAAAAGTTTTCCACTAAAGAAGGGGAAAATTTAAGAGGTGCCCCATTTTTGTGTTTTTTTGATAGAGTGCATGGATGGTAGCCTCTAGATACAGCTAGCAGCTAGTGTGCTTTGGAATGACTTTAAGTCGCTCAATTTTACAAAGGTGTCACTCAGGGTGTTTTCTTTTTTGATGTTTCACTCAGGTTTCTGAGACATTCTTCAAAAAAAAAAAAAAGGAAGTTTTCACAGTTCATATGAAGACAAGCAGAAAACCTCTCTCTTTCCTCAAATTTTGATGGCTTTTATGGAAGGTGCAAATGGTTCAGAGGTGACGTGATACAAGGTGCACATTTTCAGCATTTTTCCCCAAAGGTGACCTTAGCCAAATGGGATGGTACTTTGGAGAGTATTTTAGGATTCTATGTCTTTATGACCCCAGTTTGTGCTTTAAACTTGAAGAATTGAGTCCATTATCAGCTACATCTCTATTTAGCTCCAGAAGTAACAGAATTGTTTTGTAGAAAGTAAAATAAAAGAGTTTTATCAGCAAGCTTTGCAGAAACTTTACCCAAAAAGGAAAGCCAATTTCCCACTTGTACTGTTTTGTAAAAGATGGAACAAACTCTGGAGGCTGACCTTAAAGATGTGTTACTGG